TTTGGATTAAGAGGCCGTCTGCCTCATTTTATATCACAGTTTTTAACAGACAGGCAATTTCAAGTCCGAGTGGGTACAAACCTGTCTGATCATTATAATCAGGATCAGGGTGTCCCACAAGGCAGTATTTTGTCTGTCACTTTATTCAGTATAAAATTAACAGTTTGTCAAAAGTTTTAAATGATTTCAGTTGATGGATCACTTTTTGTGGATGATTTTAATCTATCTTGTCGTGGTAAAAATATGCACACAATAGAAAGGCAATTACAATTATGTCTAAATAAAATTCACAAGTGGTGTCTAGAAAATGGGTTTAAATTTTCCAAATCAAAAACTAATTGTATACATTTCTGCAGAAAATATAAGCCACATAAGGACCCTGAACTATTTCTGAATGGCACTCCTATCAAAGTTGTTAAGGAGGCCAAGTTCTTGGGACTTATTTTTGATAACCACTGAACTTTCTTTCCACATATTAAATACCTTAAAGCTAAATGTCTAAAGGCACTCGATCTATTGAAAGTTGTTTCTAATTCAAAGTGGGGAGGGGATCAAACAACCCTCTTACACTTACACAGGTCACTAACTTGATTATGGCTCCATCATCTATGGTGGAGCCTGCAAAAGTTATTTACAAAAACTCGATACCATCCATCATCAAGGCCTGAGGCTTTGCCTTGGAGCCTTTAGAACGTCTCCCATTCACAGTCTCTATATTGAAGCAGTTGAGCCTTCTCTTAAACAACGCCGTTTAAAATTATCTTTACAATAAATCACTAAATTATATTCTAATCAGTCCAATCCAGCTTTTGAATGCATATTCAATCCTTTACAATAAAAAATCAACACTCACTCCACCACTCGGAATCAGAATAAAATCTGCAATATCAGCTTCTGATATTAAACTCCAAGATATAGCTCCTACTAAACTTTTCTCATCTCCTCCTTGGCGAATGGTCAAGCCAGAGGTAGACCTCACATTAACAAAACTAAAGAAATCAGATACTTACCAATTAATTTACCAACAAGAATACCATCAACTACGAAAGACTTACGACACTTATAAATCTGTATTTACAGATGGATCCAAGGATGGTGGCGCAGTCGCTAGTGCCACTGTCATTGGATCCAGAACAATATCTTCACGATTACCCGATAACAGTTCCATATTTACAGCAGAAGCACATGCCATTTTCACAGCACTAAACTATATCAGTCATCAATCTAAGCATAAAGAATTCATTATTTTTTTCTGATTCACTTTCGTGCCTTCAGGCGATTAAAAATATGTCACCCAAACATCCTCTTTTAATCCAGATTCTCGAATTAATTAATTATCTTGCTACTGGCCAATATGACATCGTCTTTTGTTGGTTACCAAGCCATGTTGGTATCATTGGTAACACAATGGCTGATGCTGCTGCAAAGGCAGCACTCAACAAATCTGTGACACCACTTCTGATCCCCTACACTGATTTTAAACCTGCAATTAGATCTTACATCCGTGATCTGATGCAAAAGAAGTGGGACACCCAAGTAGGTATCAATAAATTACATGAAATTAAACCACATATCGGTTACACCTACTTGGGCTGTCAGTCCAGATTTGAAGAGGTCATTATGCGACGATGCCGTATTGGCCATTCAAGATATACACATGAATATTTGTTAAAAGGTGAGGATCCTCCGTTTTGTATCCCTTGTGATGAATGAATCACGGTCAAGCATGTCCTGCTTGACTGTGTTGATTTTTCCATCACAAGGGATAAATATTTCAATGTTAAAACAATTTAGGACCTTTTTAATGATGTTAATTCTCGTTTAATATTATGTTTTTTAAAAGAAATAGAACTTGTTCATAAATTCTGATGTACTAACTGTATTGTTTTAAAAATTGGTAGTGCAATTTAATAACTTAGATTGTTAGTGGCTATACCCTCGAGGGATGTTGAAGTAGCGTAAAATTATTGTCCCCCTAAGAGGGTATGTAAGTCCCATACCATTCGAGGTATTTTTCTGCATACCAGGCTTTTAAACGTAGTATATTCGTTATTTTAATCTTAGGCTTAACTGGTACACTGTCGCCAGTGACTGAAGGGATGATATAAATCCTGCCGGGGTCCGTGCAGGAAGCTAAGGTACTGTAAGTCCCCATGGTCCCCAGTATGGTGATCTCCCTTCAGTGGCTGACGATTTCTAGCCCATTTTTATATTGTGGTGTTCATTAATGCTTACTGCTTTTTTAATATTCTCAACTAGTTTTAAATCAAGTCTGTGATATTCTAGTTATTCTACTGTCCATCGTTGACAGCTTTTTATTTAGACTACATATATGTATCATAAATGTAACTTCTCGTCACGATATGGCTGAAATATTGCCCATGTGACGTTAAATAATAACTCACTCACACTCTAATATAGAGATCTCACTGTTGTCCAATTCCCTTAAATCCGTAAAACACCTTGACGGAATGCGGATAAACAAAGGCCTTTCTCACCGGAAAGCATGGTACTCCTTCATACCCCAAGGGAGCTAAAAAAATACTCACCACTAATGAGAAGAAACAATAAAGCGCTATTAAAATATCTTATTACCATATCTAACTGACTACCGTTACAGTGTACCTTTCTAGCTAGAGAATACATGTTAACCATTTTCCTTCCTGGCAACCAATGCAGAAAAACACATACGCATTAAACTATTGATCTCCGTCGCACAAAATGTCAGGATAAACGTAACACACAAGCAAACTGTCAGCAATGCTGACGTACTTTGTAACAGATTTTCCTGCAAAGGCTGGCTTTATCTGTTATACCACGTGACATGTATTTAACTGTTGTACTATATAGGTGTGTCCCTAATTCACGTGAACACGAAGCGGGAATTTTATTCTGGTTCCATAGACAGGTGTAGAAGGCCTGACTGAATTAAGTGGAACTATAGCAAAGGGCAATCTTATACCAGGTATGACTCACTTGATTAAATTTATTTCATTTGTTTCTTTAGCTGGTCATGCTGTAGCCAGTTGTAACGATGAGGACAGGTCGTCATATGGTTTTGAGAGTCTATTGTGGGTTATTATTTAATCAATTGCGGGCTTCACATGAACACTTACTCAAAGAGGCCGCCTCTGTGATCTTGTGGTAGAGCTTCCGCCCGGAGAGCGGAAGGTCCGGGGTTCGATGCCCGGCCGCGTCATACCAAAAGATGTTAAAAGATGGTACTTGTTGTTACCCTGTCTGGCGCTCGGCATTAAGGGGCTAAAACTAGGACTGGTCGGCTCGGAGTCAGTATACTGTGTCTGAGTTGAATATTCATGTTTAACTGCGGCATGGTATCTCAGTGAGCTAGCACTATAAATCGGCATCAGTCCGGACTAGTACAAGCAGCCACACACACACACACACACACACACACACACACACACACACACACACACACACGTGCATGCACGTTGCTATAAAAGTGCAATAATCTTGGATGCGACGTTAAACCCAATTTCACCTCTTACTCAAAATCCAAACCTTGAAAAACATACAGCATGTAAATACAAGCGACAAAACCATTTCCATAAACAAAGAAACATCTGATAAAAGTAGAGTCCATTGTACGATTCCAACTATATCATAAGCATGTGGTTATGAGTCACTATTAAATAGTGGGACCGCCTCTGTGGTCTAGTGAAAGCGTCCGCCTGGAGAGCGGAAGGTCCTGGGTTCGTTCCCGGCCGCGTCATACCAAAAGACGTTAAAAGATGGTACTTGTTCCTCTGTCTGGCGCTCGCCATTAAGGGGCTAAAACTAGTCGGCTCGGAGTCAGTATACTGTGTCTGAGTGGGTATTCATGCGGCATGGTATCTCAGTGTGCTAGCACTATAAATCGGCATCAGTCCGGACTAGTACAAGCAGCTGCACACACATACACGTGCATTCACGTCGCTATATAAGTGCACTAATCGTGGACGCCACGTTAAACCCCATTTCACCTCACCTCCCCTTGTACCGTGGTACATTTAGGTGGTATATAGAACGCATGATTGACCTCCTTGTGATGATTAGTAGTGTACGCGCCACATTTGTATTAGAGGGACATGTGATGTCTTAACATGGACTGTGTTGAGTCTTTGTTGTGTAAACGTATTCATATCAGTTTCATAGTATGCATCACTGTCGGTAGAAGATAGATCTTGTATTTATCATGAGCAGTCTGGCACAAACTTGTATATACCTGTAATCCAATATGTAATTTTTAATCATACATATATTATAATCCAGGATTTTAGGTAAACATGTGATGGTGTTGCGAAACACTGTATGTGACATTCAAAACAGACATGAATCATACCACAGTAGCCAAGCTCTCAACATTCGTTACCAGTTAGTTTCGTTTGTTTGTTTGTTGTCTTTTAAAAGTCTGTACACAATTAGTGCTTGCGTTGGTTTATGGATGTATACGTGATGGCCGTTATTATGATTCTGTGCGATTGTATTATTATCACAGGGGCGGTTCTGTAGCCCAGTTGTTACATTGTAAGGTCGCCATGCTTTAGACCAGGTTCGATTCCCCATATGGGTACAAGGTGTGAAGTCCATTCCTAGTGTCCTAGTCAATATATGGAGGGAATATTGCTTAAACAGCCTGCCAACCCTACTTACGCAGTGATCATCATCATTAACTTCTTAAACATTGCCACTCTTATCATTATAATAATAATCACAATACTCGACATATTTATTTTCATGATATTAAACCCAGTCTATATCATTATCATCAACTCCTTATATTGCTTAGTACCCCAACATTGCCCAAGAGTCACTTTCAGCACGCAATGTGTAGATTTCCAACTCAGTATCAATGTTCATATTCACAAGTAATGACGTCACAGCTCTAACTGGGACAACCCAAAGCGACAATTAAGACGCATTCCGTCGGGTGACAAACATCTGTCAGTGGGTGGTTATGGGATCGATATATAATCATCGCGCATGTTTCGCTGCAACGAGGTACATGCTTGTACATGCTGCACAGCTGAACATATTATTTCGAGCGTTCACATTTTGGTTTGAAAGGTAGGTGCCAGTTTTCCTTTCATGTGTAATTAGGTACCACTAGACTATTATAGAAATATAATATGGAAAAATAACTTGAAATGAGTTCTGGATGATTCGATTCACATTTGCTGGCACTAATCTTGCACTAACACTGCCTGTCTCAGACTCCATTGTTTACAGGTTGTTGTGAGAGGGTAGGTACAGTATCTGACCACGTCTGATTGTGCTCCGTATACCTGAACGGCATTGTAACACTCCCTGTCCCAGTACGATTGTTTACAGGTTGTTGTGAGAGGGTAGGTACAGTATCTGACCATGTCTGATTGTGCCCCGATGACCTGAACGGCATTGTAACACTGCCTGTCCCAGACTCCATTGTTTACAGGTTGTTGTGAGAGGGTAGGTACAGTATCTGACCATGTCTGATTGTGCTCCGTATACCTGAACGGCATTGTAACATTGCCTGTCCCAGGCTCGATTGTTTACAGGTTGTTGTGAGAGGGTAGGTACAGTATCTGACCATGTCTGATTGTGCTCCGTATACCTGAACGGCATTGTAACATTGCCTGTCCCAGGCTCGATTGTTTACAGGGCGTTGTGAGAGGGTAGGTACAGTATCTGACCATGTCTGATTGTGCTCCGTATACCTGAACGGCATTGTAACACTGCCTGTCCCAGACTCCATTGTTTACAGGTTGTTGTGAGAGGGTAGATACAATAATTGACCCTGTGTGATTGTGCCCCGATGACCTGAACGGCATTGTAACACTCCCTGTCCCAGAATCGATTGCTTACAGGTCGCTGTGAGCTGGTGATTAGAATTGGTCTTCAGCAACATATGCTTGTCGTAAGATGTGACCAACTAGATCGAATAGTCAGGCTCGCTGACCTGGTTGAGGCCTGTCATCGTATCACAATTGCATTGGTCGATTTTCACGCTGTCCGTCATTGGATCGCTGGTCAAGACTCGATCAGTATGCAATTGCAGTCATAACATACTGAGCCACCTGCTTTATGTCACTTGATAAATTTATCTGGGTCGATGTGGACAAATGCCTCCCTCATCGAACATGTTTTTGTCGGACCTGTTTTGTATTCAGTACAACATCAGGCTCTCGCTTTCCCTTTGGGCAGTTTCTGACCAGGCCCCGTTTCATAAAACTACGTTAGCGCTAAGGTGAACGTTACTCCCATACTTTCACATGGGCCTACGACAGTCGCAGCGCTAAGATCGCTTTGTGCAACTGAGCCCTGTTGTTCTGCGTTTCATGTCGGTTGAACCGTTGTTTACTGTCTCGTACCGAAATACAGGTATCTTGTCACATGGTACAGTTGTATTGTATAATTGAACAGGTGTGTTGTAACATGGTATTATTTGATTGTTGTTTAACGCCGCATCCACAATAGTACAGCTACATGACGTCGATCTGTAAATAATCTTGTCTTGACCAGACAATTCAGTGTCTGACATCATGAGCATCGATCTAAGCACTTGGATTACGATGACATGCAGCACCCAAGTAGTGTAGTGCACGTGTGCTGTATTGTAATACATGTACATATATGTTGCATTGTACAAGAGGTGTGCCGTACCGTGGAACAGGTATGTTGTGTTTTAGTAGATGTGTCTTGTATCTTGGAACATATGTATCATATATAGGTATGTTGTATGATAGTACCGTGGTACAAGCGTGTTGTATTGTGGAACAGATGTGTTGTATCATGGTACAATTGTGTTGTGTTGTAGTAGATGTGTCTTGTATCTTGGAACATATTTATCATATATAGGTATGTTGTATGATAGTATACGTGTTGTATTGTGGTCCAGGTGTGTTATGCCGTGGTACAGGTGTTTTATAGTGACATATATGTCGTGGGACAGGTGTACTGTGTTATGGTACATGTGTTCTTTACCGTTGTACATATATGTGTATCATGGTACTTGTACGTTGTATTGTAGTACAGGTGTGTTGTATTATAGACGCTCAAAAACGAAATGAAATATAAATATAGCAAACATATCAACTATTTTATTGACGACATGTGTTGGAGTGAACAACAGTTATGGCACCTGCCGAGCAGGTGGTCTAAAATGTTTGAAAGCTGGTGACTTTGATATTGACCAGAAAGAGACCTGTTATCATATTGTTTCCTAAAAGTAAATATATTTGTTGTCAATGTTTAACTTTATCTCGTCACGGCATGGCTGAGATATTGCCGATGTGACTTTGGTCTAACATATGTAAAGAAGCTACCAGCCCAAGGAATGTCATCAGACTGCTTTCTTATCACCGCATATCATGCATGTAGGGACACATCACAAACTCTAGCTTTACTGTCCTATAGTGACATATCATGGCGATTCAGTCAGGTGTGACATATGTTGCTGTTATGAACATTATCATGTTTTCAAGTTACTCGTTACTGACGTTCTAGATTGCTTCACTGTTGAACATGGCGGCGGCCATATCAGGCGGTCTATTGCTTTGAACCTCTGTCGTGATATCAAAGTTATTTCATGTGTATTGAACACTCTTGCTGATAATAGATTGTTCATGTGTTCATTTTGTTGAAGCATTGTGTTTGAAGCCATGAATGTGTTCAGAGACATAATGTAATATATGTTTACTTTATCTATTGAGTTCAGTGTTTGTGTTCGTGTAGATATGAGGCTGTTCAAATATAAACGACAAACTCCTTTCCATCGCCACACGAAATCTCGATTGTCGATTGTACGATTCCATCTATATCATGAGCATGTGTTTATGAATCACTATCAAATAGTGATGGTATCCGGTGTTCGGGAAACGGTGAGGTTATCCAGGAAGGAACAGGGATATATGATTTTAGGTTTCATTTTAGCTGGTCAAACATGGGTTTTGGCAAGAACAAATACGTTTCACGAAGTATTTTCTCCATTATATCGCACGATATGACTTACATACCCTCAAATTTGAGATATTGAATATTTATATATTAATGCAGTTCAGAAATATGTTTCATACATAACTTTCGTGTGTTTAACCAAATTTATTTTCATAGGAATATTGCTATATGACAGTTGTTGTATTTTAGTTATACCACTAATTCGAAGCTAGATTACTTCCTGGTGTTGTGTCTCTGAAATGTCATATATGGAATGCCATTTCGGAGGCCTTTCTTTAACGTGTAGTGGCATCAGTTAGGCTAAGGTGTTAGGCCTCCATCAATGCACAAGGTGGACACAGTCGCTATTGACTATCTGGGCCTGCCTCTGAACCTCTGGTGTGACATGATTCATTTTGCATATGACAGGAGCCCTCTATATCTGGACTGTTGCTCGTTACCGCATCTTCAGGCATTGTTCTTTCCATATGGTATAATTCCACCCAAGACAGTAATTTGTTTTGACCGATTCTCTTTGTTTTTGCTTTTTAGTATATTATGTCCTATATATTATATCACAATAGTGGTGAATTTAAGATGAACACCTTCGATAGTAGGACACATATTATATTTTTTTATATTAACACAGAAATAGATTTTGCCAGACTAGTGATAACTGTATGAAATGTCACAAACTGCACCATCTGGGGGTGTATACACGAAACGGATGTTTATGTGTTTTACCGACAAGGTTTATGTTTTCAGCCATTGGAAAGACTTGAAGAACAAACTAAACAAAACGACATGGACCACGCTGACCTGAAGGGAACTTTTGAAAAGGAAAGAACCGAAAAGCAGAATGAGGATAATGAGGCTCGTAAGCTGACAGTTAGATTTTCTATTTCAAATCAAGCTTTTATTCACAAGTTGGAATATACCTATGCTGACAGAGTTTAAGGTGACACGTGCCACGGTGCTGGCTACCATGGACGGTATATAAGCATTGACCACATCGTCGTCGTAATACAACTGTGGAATGTGCCGTTAAGCAACAAAGCAGCAAACACACATTGACCACATAATGTATTGACTTGAGATATAATTAGTTTCAACATATTTACTGTTACACATGCTATGTAAAGTCGGGATTTTTATCTTTGCAATTTGCACATTAATGCTATGAATGAAAACAAAGTTTAACTCTCAGTTTGAGATTGATTAGATAGTACGTACAGTCGAACCTCGTTATCTCGAACCACATCATCTCGAATGTACAGATATCTCAAACCTATTCTCCGGTCCCAACCGCCTCAATATATACATACATATAAATTTACCTGCTTATCTAGAATTCGAGATATAAATACACAGTGTTATCTCGAACTAACTATAGAATTGTGGACCTTTATCTTGAAGTTGGCATTTGCCACATTAACAGTTTTGAGCAATTTAAACCAATTGTTCAAAAAATTATGTACTTATATTGTAATTCAATTGTAATGGTAATCTTAACTGACAAACAAATCATCGTGAATAGACACGAGGAAAAACATGTTATCACTTCCTGAAAAAGCCACTTTACCCTAGTCACATTATCCAAGATGTGAAGAAACATGCTTGAGCTAAGAGGGGCACTTTGTTGTTCGTGGGCAGATTAAATAGTGACTGTTGCTATGCCTAATAACATACATGTTATCAACGAGGAAGTCCAGCATTTCCCGTATTGTTTTCTCAGTAAACTTCAGATGGCATTTGCTTTCATTTTTGACAAATTGCCCTGAACCTCTGAATATAGGTACTTAGTTGTTTCTGATCACCATGTTTTGTATCAAAAGCCCATGAATCAAGGAATGAAATTTGTCCTTAAGTTTGTCACGTTGGATAGTGAGGTACAAAGTTGATAAAATAATAATGTTTGGAACGACAGAATGGAACTTGGTTCTTTTCTGAGATTTCATAAAGAGGTTTGCTTAAATGTCTCAATCAACTTAATTGATGATGCATACACATAAAACAGCATTTTACCCGAGAGGGGTCGGGTAGCCTAGTGGTTAAAGCGGTCGCTCATCACGTCACGCAGAAGACCCAGGTTCGATTCCCGACAGGGGTACAATGTGTGAAGCCCATTTCTGGTTTCACCCGCCATGATATTCCTGGAATATTGCTAAAAGCGGCGTAAAATCAAACTCACTCACTCGCTATTAACCACATATTGTTGTAGCACTGATCCACACAGTGTGATAGACTCAAGAGTCTTATGAGAATATACATTGAAAAGAGACCATTATTTACTACTCAATAATGGATCTATACTTCTCTACATGTCTCTCCTGAGAGAACAAGACACCAACACGATAATATGAATAATTTTAAATTAAGTATTGCTGGAATCATAAGTATAATATTTCTTCTATGAACCCATATACACATATACACACGGAAAAAAGAGATTGTGCTCGTTTATAAAGCTCACTAAAAATATATATTTATTCTGAAATTTTATAACGTAACTTTCACTCCATATTCATGAATACATCTCCTCGACTTTAAGGCATGTACATGCGTTTCTAATACTCACACACTTGTTTTCCTTTTTATGTAAACAGCACACAATGATTGTTTTACTATCAGGTGCTCCTGAAACACTTGTGTTTAACTGTAAATAATGCTCATACAATGTCACGGTTTGCTGAAAATCAACGTCAACGCGCCGTGGTTATGCTGCAAACAGCAATGGCACAAAAAGAATTTTCCGATCATTTTAATGTTTATTGAAGTGCAAGATGATCTCTTGGGAGACGTTATCTACAGCAAGACAACACTCATGACTTGCCACGGGCCGGTCGTCCACGTGTGACGTCACGTCAACAAGACAACCATATTATGTTCGTGCATCTATGGAATCGATACTAAACGGCTACATTAACTTTTTGGACAATTCCTAGTTTGAGACCATTTATTGGCAGAACATATGCAACCAGTAGAGGGACCACAACACCCGGCCCCAATGTCCCGCGATACGACCAATTTTGCTCGCACGTCTCCGTCAGGCACGCCTTGCTTGGTGTAGACAGCATTTGGGGTTCAGGAGACAAGATAGGGACAGTATACTGCTCGTATAAGTCCAGGTTTCATCTGGACATCTCTGATGGGGTCTCCAGGCTTCCAGCAGAACGTTTGGGCGAAGCTTGCGTTACTGAACGTCGTCATTTTGGGGTTGAAGTGTAATGGTATGGGGTGGCAACAAAACTCATAGAACACATCTCATCATAGTCAATTTGAAAAGCGTACGCTACCTGGACGACCCTTCAAATGCAGGGAAGTAACGTCAGTGTGCAGTGGATAATGCCCACCTACACGTTGCACGTGTTGAAAGGTTTGGAGGTAACATAACATTGCTGTACTGCCATGGCCGACAGTTTCACCAAACCTCTCTCCCCATAGAATATGTCCGGGATGAGATAGAGCGATGCCTCCCACAGGACCAGAGCCAGCCGGTAACGCTAGCTCAGATGGTCCAATCTTTGAATGACAATTAGAACCTGTCACAGGCTGTCTGGTGCCTCGCCTGTATCAATGCAAATGGTGGTTACGCCCAATATTGGCATTGTTAATTGAGTTCTTCACCATCCCTCTTTTAGAGCGTACCACTGTCCCCTGTTACCTGGTATGGGTTTTGCAAATACTTTTCTTATGATGAAACATTGATCAGACTAATGACCATATATACTGAACAGCATTGAAAACGCACCGCCATGAAAATGGATGTATTTTTATCCGGGCTTAAATCATATGACATGGGAGGAGGGAGTGTCATGGTGTGGGGCGGCATCAGTCATCACCATCGAACAGAGCTTCATGTTTGTCGTGGAAGAGTTAATGCCCTTTACTACAGGAATAACATATTGGCAAATCACGTCATCCCATTCTTTCATCAGCACCAGGATATGCACACCTTCCAGCAAGATAATGCAAGAGCGCACACAGCACGTGTTTCAACACAGTACCTAGCGAATAATAATGTGCCTCTGCTTCTATGGCCAGCCCTGTCACCCGATCTATCGCCAAATGAACATCTATGGGATTACCTGGGTCAACGCCTCTCACGTCGTCCACAAGTACAGAACCTGAGAATACACTACGTCAAGAGTGGAATGCCCCAGATCACGATTCGCAGACTTATTCGATCAATGAGAAGACGTTGCATGGCCTGTGTTGCTGTCAATGGCGGACATACCAGATATTGACTTTTCATTTTAAGCCTGTCTTCCTTACACTGATGACGTAATTGTAATTACTGTGTGGTATTCCTGTTTCCTTTGTCGTCTTTCTTAATAATCCGTCTATGTCTGTTCTAATCAAAATCGGTCATTGCTCAAGTTGTTTTGTAATATTTCAAGATTTATTGCTGGTGCGTTTTCAATGCTGTACAGTATATTATGTTGTTATTTTCAATAACACAACATTTACACCACTTTATATGAATCACAGTTACTTTTTGACGCTAGTATATATTGTTGGCTCCAACGGTTCTTTTTTATACATGTGTTTCAGCTACACCGCCCAGTCCGGATCGCGCACCAGCTGTCTCTCCTCAGGATTCTGTGCCTATTGTGCCCAATGCATTGGTCGTGAATGCGCTGTCCCTAAACAAAAAAAAGTCGATCCTACAGCGTCGTCTTGATGATGATCTCATCTTGGCGCACGTCATTCTGGTGTCCGATACGTGGTGCAAGGATAAACATACCGAAATTAAAAGAAGCATAAATAGGTATTATGGTTTCTTTGAAGATCGAAAGAAAGATGTAACAGGGAAGAGTAAATCAGGAGGTGCGGCGATCTATCTCTCAGATGCAGACTGTTCAGAAGCAAAGTATGTGTACAAAGAATCCAGTCCTCATAGCGAGGCTATAGGGGTGACCTTCGTGTTCAGAGGCGTGGCATGGTTGGCGATGTGTATTTACAGTGTAAACACAAGGGAGGCCAATAAAGAGGAACGAACGAATTGGAACAACAAATTCATTCAGTGGGTACTTGCCAGCGAAGGAGCTAGAGATATAGATTTGGAACAGACCATTATAGTCGGTGGAGACCTGAATCACAGTGAAGTGACATTGCCTGGTTTCACCAACTACGTAAGAACCAGAACTCGGAAAGACGCCATCCTCGACCTACTCTACACCAATAACGCCAGGGGTTGGGATTCGGTGAACACCGTGGAAGACGAGGAGACACACGAGCAGATCTCGGATCATTTCATTGTGAGGGCTTTCTCTCAAGATATATGAAAGTAATTCCGGAAGTGGGAGGAGTTCCAGCTAACAATTCCACGTTGTGACAACGTTGTGTTTTCGTTATGGTAACGTTAGGGTTATTACGTCCATATCACGTTATTCCGTGGATTCCCATTGTGGGAAACCACGTTGTCACAACGTCATGGGGTAACATTGTGTTACGTCATATTCACGTCGTCATAACGTTGTGTTTTTTACGTTATTGGAACGTTGTATTTTACGTTGTAATAATGTTGTATTTTACGTTGTGGCAATGTTATAATATTACGTCCCTACGACATTATCTTGTGGACTACCATGGACATTGTCACAACGACGTGAAATAACTTTGTGTAAGAAGGATGAAATACGTTGTGACAACGTTAACTAGTGACCATTACCCGCGAAAATGGTGTTTAAAACATCCCAAAAAACATTTCGCGACATGTTCCGGAAATGTTTTTGAATATGCTGTAGTCACGTGTATGTGTATATTTCGAGATACCTTTTACAAATGTTTTGTAAACTGAGCTGTAAACTAGATACATTATGACACCATGACCCTTTAGGCTTGTACTACAGGAAACAAAATAAGAAGGCTCGGCATGCTGGGGAATGTAGGCGAGCGGCCGTGTTAACTGAGATACCGAGATGGGTATATGTCTAGAGCAATATTGTGCGAAAATAGGCACCTTTTCGCAACCAAATAAGTCCATACGCATTATGCATGGTATTTCGCTCAGAAGAAAGTCTCTTTCGATGACTCTGAGTCTTGTTTTGATGTTGTTTACACTACTGACTGTATGTGGTGACGTGGAAGCTAATCCCGGTCCGGACACCCGACAATCAACGCTCTCACAGAAAGATACAGGTGCTGTCGGCATTTCAAAGACAAAATATACAAACGATGATATCATGCAAGCTCTGTTAGACTTAAAAACTGATATTAAAACAGTGAACGGGCGTGTAACGACAATGGACATGAAAGTCGACAAAATGGCGGCTGAGGTATGCGAACAACGAGACGAAATCGCTCAGCTTCGTGATCATCGATCAAGGAGGAATAACCTTCTGTTCCATGGACTTCAGGAAGATAAGAACGAAACTTGGGAAACTTCGGAGCGCAAAGTTCGAGAATTCATGAAGGAATAATTGGATATCACTGAAGCAGACAATATACTTATCACAAGAGCTCATCGATTACGCAATGGGAAGCAACATTAGCTCCATTATATTCTGAAGCTCTAAAAGCCGGATTAAAACCGAAAATTCGACACGACAAACTCATGGTTGATGGAAAATTCTTTCTATACGACAGTGTGAAGAACATGAATGTATGCACGACCAATGGAAACAGGATATCAACAAACATCATAGGCCTTCAGTCTAACCAACAGCACATACACGCCCCTTTGTTTACGTCGGAATCTGGACCCGGAAATGGAAGGGAGAGCATTCCGGACCTTTACCATAGTGCTGCAGAAGAGTTTAAAAAAGTGTACAAAGGATTTGGTTTTGTTTGGCTAAGCCAAGACATTGGTAATATTCAACATTTCATGACAGATTTTACACGAAGATTTTACGACTGCCTCACTCAATTTGGCACTTTTCCCTGACATCATCAACGAAATGCAATTACTACTCACAGTTCAAGTCATTACTAAATGTGGAATCCTATTTAACTTGTGATATGTCCTGTTGCCACCGTAGACTTATAGCCATGTTCCGATGTAATAATTTCAGACTTGCTTTCGAACTGGGGCGTCACAACAACATTCCATATAATGAACGTGTCTGCACTTTCTGTTTTTCAAAGGGACATAACCATGTAGAAGATGAATTCCATGTTCTTATGATTTGTGACCAGTCTTCTAGAGCAAGAAGAAACTCTTTTCCCAAGCGTCTCGTTACCTCTCCCTCTATTGAGAATTTTATAAGACTTATGTCAGCTGAAAACGAACAAACTATAAAAGGCTTAGGAAAATTTCTCTCTCAAGTCATGAACATCGAAAGGAAACACAGTGTGGAACGGTAAATCATTATTAAATCTACTCAGCATGCATATACATATATACAGTATATTTCCATTGTATTATGGGCCGGTGGCCTGAAGTACCAAATAAATTTGTCTGTCTGTCTGTCTGTCAAAATAAGAAGGACAGACATGGTAAGGGGTTGACCATTTTATATTCTGGGGAGGGTTGGGGCCTGGAATTTAATCGAAAAAATATATTGTCACTGAAAATTCTTCACAAAATGTTTAGGTTTCAGACTGGTGAAACAAACGTAATTGCCTGCCACAAAAAATGACATTGTTGCAAGGTGCTTCTTCATAGACTTAAATACAAATATATATTTGGTTTTGAAGCTGTGACCGAAAAATTTCTCATCTCAACAGAAACGTTCCAGCCAACATAATTCACAGCCAGGGGTTTATTTGGTGTATTCCTCAATGGTCCAACATTCCTGCTTTTATCTCCTGGAATGCTCGTGTCCCATTTTCACCCTTGCTGAAGCGAAAATAACAATTTTCCACATTATAACAAAGTCAAAACTAGAACTATATTCAGTTAGCATAAATTAATAGTCTATCCAAAAAGATAACACATATTGTATAATTGTCTAAAAGTTAGGATACACTGTAAATGTAATATCCACATGTAGAACGTCGAATCGGAAATATCTCAGGCTACAGATATCAGATATAAGTAACAAAATTGTGAAAAAGTGAGTACCATAATAAAAAACACCTAACGTAATTTTGTGTCCATACCATACTCCGGTCTGAAAAGAATGGATTCTTAGCCAGACAAACCAGTGATTGGTATTATGAGCCACGTCCCACAACCTCGGTCAGAGTACAATTACACACAATCAGCCTTCATTTTATCGCCCCTTAGCAGCTGTTAGTACAAACATAGATAATTGTACATATTTGTCCCGATTCTTTGAAAATTCCTTACAATATTTTAAATCCAATTTATTAAAACTACAGCTTATAGTATAATAAAATATTCCCAACTTAATCTTATATACCTGTATATAAAAATTCTTGTACATTTAAAATTAGCTACCTTTATTATTCTGCTTTTATTTCATTTTAATTATTTTACTTACCATATGTTTTATATAAACTTAATATTCCCCTTAGGCAAAGGATTACCGCAAGGCAAACATTATACCAAATGCATTGTTTTTAGAAAGTAATCCTCTTATCGTTAATGTCAAACAGTAGGTTAGTAAAACTCGGGAAATCAGTCAGTCAATACAAGCCTCAGGTCAGAAATACTTATCCAATCAAAATTGGCGTTACATACTTTAGACCAATAACAGTAAAGGCGCAGTTCCAGCTCCTCGGCCTCTCAACTATGTAAAACCATGCAGATGCCCCTTTGGTATCACATCTGCTCAAGAATAAATACTGGAACTGTCGCCATCAACTCTGTGATTTATATTCTCAACTTTATGTCCTAAGGTAAGCTGGTTTCCCTTGTTCAAAATATTTACATGTGTAGTTATTGTTTAGAAATGTTTGAAGTTAGACCAAACAAATATGCAGTAAAGTTATCTCACTTGAACTGAGTACAGGTAATGTATTTATGTTGTCTTTGTACAATGTAAGTACTTATTTGGGATGTGTGTGTTTATAACGTTCTATTCAGTGTTGTTGCAAGTAATTATAAAATGTTGTTCATATTTTTATAATACTGCTAACAATTATCATTAATTGTATGTCACATTTTGTTGTGAATAGTTGTATTTTAAATGTATTATACCGACCTCAACATTGTTGAGTTACCGCACATTGATCGTTAATGTGAGTATTATTAATAATATTGTAAAAAGGCTAGTTTAAGGAAATGCAAAGGGCAATACCTATCGTAAGCCTCCAACTGTTTGAATGTGTAGATATCCCAGCCCATATTATTAATATACATACATTTTCATAATCTTGATAGATGCAAAGGTGGTAATCTGTATATCTGTGTAATCTTATGTGTTTGTGCTTAGTCTCGAGTTTAATTATGTGCTTTCTATTTTCAGTATCCAGTTAATTGTAATATGTAAATGATATCAACTGTAGTCATTCATCTTCCTGCCATTATCAACTCTACTATGCTAATTCCCTAGACAATCAATTATCAACTCTATGAGCTTATTCTCTCATGAATATTCATTGATTAAATGTTAAATTGTAATATTATACAATATCTTATGTACATCTTTATTATTGTAATAACTTGAAATTTTGTATTGAATGTATCTACATAACATCTGCTCAAGAATAAATACTGGAACTGTCGCCATCAACTCTGTGATTTATATTCTCAACTTTATGTTCTAAGGTTACCCAAATTTATGTGAGAGCGCACAGCAGGCGTTCTCATACCGAGGCATAACA